CAGAGTTAAAAAACTATTTCAAATCTCTGAGCAGCTATATGGGATGGGGATTTAGCTCACTGGTGCCACTACTCGCCTTGCAAGCACAAGGTCCAGAGTTCAATTCCCAGTACCAAAAAAAAAAAAAAATCTCTGAGCAGCTTTAAAATAAACATTGCAAAGTTTTCAAATAGCCAGACAGAGCAACACATGCCTATAATCTCAGCTACTCAAGAGACTGACAGAATTCAAGCCCAGCCTAGGCAATTTAATATCTTAGCCAGACTCTCATTAAAAAAGAAAGAAAAAAAGTCAAGCCGAGGAGGCCAGCCTGGACCACATAGTGAGACCGTGTCCCGGAAAAACCAAACACAGATAAATAAAAACTTAAAAAGCGATGGAATGTGGCTCAGTGTGGTTCAACTGCCAGAACTCCTGAAAAAGGGAAAGAAAAATCAAAAGGCATGAAGACATAACTAACAATAAAAATCTTAAGTAACAGTTTCAGGAGAAGACTTAAGCAAAGATGAAAAAATTTAATGATATAGAAAAAAATGTTTTAAGTGAAAAGATACTGAGTCTTCAAAGAGGCTGAGTCTCAAATAGGATACAGACTGTCACAGACTGTTAGCACAAAGATACCAGAGGAAAGTACAATCAAGCCTTATTCGGCCAGGGATATAGCTCAGTGGTTCCACTGCCTGCCCCGCAAGTGCAAGGTCCTGAGTTCGATGCCCAGTACCACCAAAAAAAAAAAAAAAGCCTTACTTACAGGAAAATAGCTACTCTGCTAGAATTCAAACAGGCTAGCCCTGAGGAAAATAAGGAAACACTAAGATATAAAAGACTAACATAACTTTCTTGTTAAACAAACTGAAAAAATACATGCCAAAAATAAGGAAAATGGGGGCTGGGAGTGAAGCTCAGAGGAAAAGCAAGCACTCGGCCCCCAGGTTTGATCCTCAGCACTGCAAAAAATAAAAATGCCAGGCACAGCAACACATTTCTGTAGTCCAGCCCACTCAAGACAAGCACTGGGGGTTCAGCCCAACCCAGGCAGGGTGGGCTTACATAGCAGCACTTGCCTGGCACCAGTGAGGGTGTGAGCTTCACCCCCTGCACCACACAACTTAAACAAAAAGAACGAACTGGGTCAAAACATATGGACAGCTAGCTCCAAGTAGCAGAACACAAATACAGTCTGATACTATTTCTGTAAAACAATACAAGACACTACAAATGCTCTTCACAGGGGTGTGCGTGTGTGCGTGCATGTGTATTAATTAACACATGGTCATAACAGATAGTAACTGGGGAGGGGAAAAAAAAAGAGTACTTCAGCTGGACCTGGTGGCGCATGCCTGCAATCCCCAGCACTCAGGAAGCTGAGGAAGAAGGATCGATGTGAGTTCGAGACCAGCCTGGGCTACATAGTGAGTTCCAGGTCAGTCTCAACTACACAGTGAGACCCTGTCTCAAAAAAAAAAAAAAAAAAAAAAAAAATTGTACCATAAGCTGAGCACAGCAGCCAGCTTCCTCAGGACTCTGGCAGGATGACCTCGACCTCAAATTCAAGGCCAACCTGGGCAACACGGGGACTGTCTCAAAAAAACAAATCAGATAAGCTGGTGCAACCACTGTGGAAATCAATATGGATATACCTCAAAGAACTAAGATTAGAGGTTCCAATTGACCCAGCTATCCCTCTGCTGGGTATCTTTCCAAAATAATTTTAAAAATCATTACCACAGTGATATATGTGCACCCATGTTTGTAGTGGCACAGTTTGTAATAGCTAAAACATGGAAATAGCCCAGTTGCCCATTAACTGGAAACTGAATAAAGAAGATGTGGTTTTCTTATAAAATGAAGTACTACTCAGCCATAAAGAATGAGAAACTAGAGACCTTTACAGCTAAATGGATGCACAATGAGGCTACATACTCTTAAGTAAAATAAATGACACACTTGAGTAAATACCGAATAGTTTCTCTGCTGTGAAAAAGTAAAAAGTGTAAATAAGGTTCAAATGGTATAATCGGTAGTGTGAAACAGGAAGAAAAATGGCTAAAGGGGAAGTAGGAAGTGAAGGGGAAAGGAAATAAGGGAAAAGAAAAAATGTGAAAAAAAAAAGGAAAAAAATGGAAACAAAGTCTTTGTAAATAGGGAAGGGTGAAGGGAGTGAAGGGGGAAAAATAAGAACCAAGACCATCATGTAAAGGTACAAGGTCCCAATGATGTTAACTGTATTGTTTGCTTTAAATGTAAACTTAATGGGGGAAAAAAATTAGACAACGGCCAAGGATTTAGCTCTGAGGCACTACACCTGCCTCACAAGGTCCAGAGTTCAATCTCCAGATCTCCAATACCAAATTCGACAAGCAGATAACATTTCTTTGTGTTTGTGGCAGGGTACAGGGAGTACTGGGGATTAAACCCATGTCCCTCACACTGAGCTACTACTCTACCAGCCCTTTTTCTTTTCTTGGAAGACTGAGTCTCAGTAAGATGCCCAGGCTGGCTGCAGACGTGTAGGGTCACAAGTGTGCACCACCATGCCTAGCTAACACAAAAGGAAGCTGAGATAAGACATGCTGCCAGTTTACCTCAAGATAACTTCCTTACCCATCTTAAGGCCCTGAAGGTGCCCAGAGAGAATAAAAGAAGAAAAGCAGGCAACAAGCGCACTTTGAGGAATCTACCACACCCGAATCACCTCTCCATATCATCTTCCTGTTTCCTTAATGTTTTCTGACCTTTATCTACTGGTGACATCCCCTAGAACAGCCTTCAGTGTACCCTGAAAATCGAAAGCAGATTCCCTATCTTGGTGACCTAACTACTCTTAACTAAACATGCTACAAGGAGAAAAAGTCAAAAAAACAGATCAATGTATGCATCCTTAAAATGTTTCTGACTGAATGCAGCCTCCATTCACTAACTCCCATCATTTCACCACCACACAGCTGAAATTCTCCTATAATACATTACCAAAATCAAAACAAACCAAAAGCACTACAAAACAATTGTTCTGAGATTACAATCTTTATGGGCTACTAAGCTGTAATTTCTGCTCATCCAAATCTGCCCAGGCAAAAATAAAAACTTCTACATATAAGCCAGGCATGATGGCACACGCCTATAATCCCAGAACTCAGGAGGCTGAGGCAGGAAGATCGCTGTTGAGTTCAAGACCAGCCTGGGCTACACAGTGAGTTCCAGGTCAGTCTCAACTACATAGAGACCCTGTGTCAAAAAAAAAAAAAAGAAAAAAAAACAAAAAACTTCTACATATAAGCCAGGCATGATGGCACACGCCTATAATCCCAGAACTCAGGAGGCTGAGGCAGGAAGATCGCTGTTGAGTTCAAGACCAGCCTGGGCTACACAGGGAGTTCCAGGTCAGTCTCATCTACATAGAGACCCTGTGTCAAAAAAAAAAAAAAGAAAAAAAAACAAAAAACTTCTACATATAAGCCAGGCATGATGGCACACGCCTATAATCCCAGAACTCAGGAGGCTGAGGCAGGAAGATCGCTGTTGAGTTCAAGACCAGCCTGGGCTACACAGTGAGTTCCAGGTCAGTCTCAACTACATAGAGACCCTGTGTCAAAAAAAAAAAAAAAGAAAAAAAAACAAAAAACTTCTACATATAGCCAGGCGTGGTAGCACCACTTGTAATCCCAGCACTCCAGAGGCTGAGGCACAAAGACTGTAGGGAGTTCAAAGCCAGCCTGAGCTAAAAAGCAAGACCCTGCCTCAAAACAAAACAAAACAAAAACTACATTTGTTATATGCTGAGAATGGAAAGTTCAAATCTGTTCTCTACATTCTGTCAAATTCTCTAGTCCACACAGAAAGGAAAAACAATCACACGGCAAATGATAATAGCTCTCTTTGACTAGTGAACATTCCATCATCTTCTCTTAACACTTCCAGAAGTTCAACCACAAAAAATGCTTTTGGCCATCAAGAAAAAAACTTCCCTCAGTTTTACAAAAAGTTCTCAAAAGTGTACAGAAAAACTGCAAAATAGTTGCATTAAGTAGTGTTTCACTAAATAGCCAGGCTGGCCTTGAACTCACAATCTTCCTGCCTCAGCCTCTCAAGTGCTGGGATTACAGGCCTATACCACCATACCTGAATAAAGAGGAAAGTTTTTATGTTGCTTAGTCAGAAAATATAAACAATTGAAAATAGGCAATAGTCGGGCTGGGGATTTAGCTCAGCCATTCGGTGGCCTGCCTTGCAAACGCAAGGACCCAAGTTCAATCCCAGGTACCAAAAAAAAAAGAAAAGAAAATAGGCAGTGGTCAGTGTTAAATTAAGCCAGGAATGGTGGCACATGCCCATAATCCCAGCACTCAGGAAGCTGAGACAGGAAGACTGCTATGAGTTTGTGGCCAGCCTGGAGTACATAGGAAGTTCTAAACATTCCTGAGCTACATAATAAGACCCTGCCTCAAAAAAAGTTAAACTATACTTGTGCAAATGCAAGTAAAAAAGAATATGCTAGTGGCTAACATTCTTGGGTTTTTTTCCCATTAAAAAAACCTACAGAGCTGTGTGGTGGCATGTGCCTATAATCCCAGCATTCAGGAGGCTGAGGCAAGATGATCTTCTGAGAATTCCAGGACAGTCTGGGCTACAGAGCAAGACTCAGTCACAAAACACCTACAAAGATATCAATATAACTTCTCTATCATTCTGTTGACACTATATTCTAACTATGATCAAATAACACAGCCTTAAAACCTTAACTCAGGCTTGCTTAACTCGTAGTTATACGTTATACAAACTGAATATGGCTTCATATTTTTATCTTTTTTTCCAAGTATCCTGCAACACATATACTTATTTGATCAGATCTGTTTTCCAGATTTTACAAAATCTGTTTAAAATCCTAAGTCATTAGGCCCAAATTGTTAAGTTCCATTATTTGAACAGAAAGGACAACCCTCCCAACTGAGTGTGGCCTCCTTGCTACTCCAACCCAAATGTCTTCAATAAGCAGTCCTTACCACTCTGGCTGCTCTCTCCTGAGATTCACATTTCCTGCAAAACCACGGTCCAGTGGGGACTTGAACAATGCCATAGCAAGCTGTTGGGAAACAAAATGTTTCAAAATGTTAGAATTTGAAGGGCTACAGAAAATCAGAGAAACTTTCAAAGCCCTAATAAATTGCTCCTCAAACTATTCAACTACTGGCTTCGAAAAGAATTTTTATATAACGTGTTTTTTTTTAAGATAGGGTCTAAGTAGGCCAAGCTGGCTTCAAACTCAAAATCTTCCTGCATCAGCCTCCAAAGTGCTAGGTTTCTATGTGTACACCACCATACCTGGTTCATATCATTTACAAAATTAAAAAGTAAAATACATATTTATAAAATTTTAAAATTCAACCCTTTTATATTATTTCATTTAAAAAAGCCTAAATGTTACAAATACTATGGTGTTTTTTAATCAAAGCTTTATTTTATAATGGGAAAATAATTATGTAAAATTTTGTAGAGAAGTATGGTGATGTATGCCTATAATCTAGGGGGCTGAGGCCGGAAGATCACAAATTTAAATTCAGCCTGGGCAACTTAGCAACTTGGTGAGATCCTGTCTCAAATAAAAGAGCTGAGGATATAACTCACTGTGATGGCCTTGGGTTTAATCCCCAGTACTCGAGGTAAAAAAAACTAATATTGGGCTGGGGATTTAGCTCAGTGGTACTGCTGCCTGCCTCTCAAGAGCAAGGTTCCAAGTTCGATCCCCAGTACCCCCCCAAAAAAATTAATATTAAAAAGTAAAATGTTTCCATTTATATGAAAAGTCTTAAATAGAAATATCCACAGAAAAATTAGTGGTTGCCTAGGGCTGTACGAGTTCAGCAGAAATGGGAAGTGACTGCTAATGGGTCCAAGATTTCTAGTTAAAGTGATGAAAAGGATCTAAAATTAATTGTGGTAATGGCTGCACAACTCTGAATACACCAAAAACCACTCAACTGTTAACATGGAATTCTCTCAATAAAGCTGTTACAAAACAAGAAAAACAAGTATGTTTATTTCTAAATATTTTGTAACACAAATGTTCTGACAAGTATGACTGTGTCACATCTAATTCACATCCTCTCCAGGAAAGGTTATGTAATCCCAGCACTTGGGAAACTGATGCAGGAGAATCGCTGAAAGTCTGAGGCCAGCCTGGGCTACATACAGTGAGACCCTGCCTCAAAAAAGTTTTAAAAACAAAAAGCGAGTAAGACTCTATTTTAAAGGTGATTTTTCATATTAATACTTAATTAGTCTAAAGTTAAAATTTTTCTGAAATCTGAAAGCACATTCAATTGACCTTCTCATGAGTTTGCTCAGCAGAAAGCTGAAAATCTTCTTCTTGGTTGTGGTGTTGGGGACTGAACCCAAAGCCTAGTCACTGAGCTACATCCTCACTCTTATTTTGAGCAAGAGTCTCAGTAAGGTACAGGGATTTGGCTCAGTGGTTCCGCTGCCTGCCTTCAAGAGCCAGGGCTGGAGTTCAACCCCCAGTAACAAAAAACAAAGAGTCAAAAAAACAAACAAACAAACAGTCTCAGTAAATTGCCCAGGCTGGCCCTGAGCTTGCAGTCTTCCTGCAACAGCCTCCAGAGTTTCTGGAATTAGCGGTATGTGCCACCACACCCTGTAAAAATACCTTAAATACCAGGAAGCAATATATAAAAACAGCATAATTTTTAAAACTCCAAAAGTTCATTTCTAATCCTTCTTAAACATGTATAAATAATAAGAGTAGAAGTGTTTTTATCAGCCAAGAAATACAGCATGAGGGTCCAAACATATTTTTCTTTGGAAAAATTTAAGGAAAGGAAAATTCAAGAGTCAAGCTGGGCATGGTGGCAAACACCTGTGATCCCAGAATTTGGGAGGCTGAGGCAGAAGAATCTCCCCAATTTCAGGTCAACGCCTGAACTACACAGCAAGATCCCATCTCAAAAAAAAAAAAAAAGATTCAAATGAACATTTTCAATATCGGAAAACAGTTGTCCTAACAAAATTTGACAACTTACAGTCCATCATAACAGTACCTCCACAGATGCCAATAGCTAAAACTACATGCCAGTCCTAAGACCTTAATATTGGTATCTGGTTTGTTCGTTTGTCTTTCTGGTATTAGGAATTGTTGTACTTCCAAGGCAGGTAGCGGAACCAGAGCCAAATTCCTGGCTCAGTATCTGGTTTTGACACTGCTTTTATGCCTTAAAAGTGTGCAACCTCTCCTGAATCTCAAAAGCAACTGTGGTAAATTCACTACCTACCTCGGCTCCTCATCACTGCCTGTGTCCCTTCCCAGGGGCCACACTGCATTGTTTTTACACTGCATCGACCCCCTCTACTACTACTAAACAGTATCTGTGTCATTCTGTATCTGCCAAATTCAGAAGTGGACAGAGGAGTGAAATGGTGAACAAACAGGAAACTACCAAAGAAAAGGATCTAGAATTGTTTCAGCCTCAGCTCCTTTCAGCTTTTATTGCTTAAAAGGCAGACACTCCAATGACTAAATAAGTTATCTTACACGGATGTGGCTCAGTGCCATAGAGCCTGCCTGGCAAACGCAAGATCCCGAATTCAATTCCTGGTACGGCAAAAAAAATAAAATCTTCCTGGTGTTACGGATTTTTCTAAAATATTCAAAATCACTCACCAACTGGAAATATACCCAGGAATATAATAAGAAGTTCCCCAAGTCACCGACAGCACCACCACCTCCTCAGGTCTTGAGCCACACAGGCTGAGGCGTGGCCCGAGGAGGCCACTAAGCAGAGCTGCGCGGGGCCGAGCCCCAGACCCTCCCGCAGGCAGGCACCACGCGTCCTCTCCGCAAGAAGCTCCCAGGCAGCAGCGGGGTGTCCACCCGAAAGTTGGGTTGCAGCAGGGCCGGCTCCCCTCCCGGGTCTGCAGAGGCGCCCCCG